TATACAAGTATTTTACATTTACCATTTACCATATCTTGGCTCCAGCCATCTGCAGGACATAAAATAAATCTACATGGCAACGCGTTTACTTATTTACATACAGATATATACAGTACCAGTAAAAAATATCACTCTCTCATTCAAGTGAATGGGAACAGCTCTGGGTTCAAGATATTGCATGCAAGTATGAGTATATATATTACCTTTGAGCAAAAAATATTTTCTCTAAATATAGAGGATATCTAATCCCATATATTTCTCTGCCATGCTCTTGGCTCAGTGAACTCTTGCATAACCTTCTTGCACATAATATCTTGCGCCCAGAGCTGCCTGTGACAAATTCATTTAGACAAGATATCTGTTAAGAACTCATCTTGTCTCCATTCAATTACAAAAAACTCCCCCATATCCAGGTGAACTCATTATACCCAAGATGGAGAACATATTTGACTGAAGGTTTCTTCAGTAACGGCCATCTGGGGGGTAGTTGTTGAGATATCAATATCTGGATCTAGCTGATGACACCATCCAAATTTACATCTCTATATGTATGTTTTTATGTTCCAGACTCACCTAGCGTCCAGGAACCTAGAGCGCAGGATCATGACAGCCTCACAGGTGCTCTGCTTGAGCTGCATTTGGATGGAGCTGAACTTGCGGTGAATGATGTTCACCATGCGTTCAATCTCTTTTGGTGAGATGGGCCGTGTCCGTGACTGCTCTTTCAGCAGGTTCATTACATGAGTGGTGAATTCATTGCAGGCCTAATGAAATATCACAGAGACACAAAGGAGATGTATGTAATATAAAGTACATATGGGCTCACCATGAGAAAATTAATCATAACATATTTGATCTGGTGGCAGAATGCATACAAAACAAAAAGGGTCAAATATATTTCAGAGGTATGCCAACCTACTGTATTTCAAAGAGGCCACATCCAGAAAGATTTGGCAGCAACCAGGGTTCGAGTTATCTGGGAGGCAATGGGAACTGAGCCCCTTAGTAAGCAGTAAAATCATACATCAGTGGGGGTCTCTAATCACAAATTGCTTTTTTCATTGTAATGAGTAGTATTTCTCTCTGTATTGCTTCCTTTCTATTGGATTTTTGACTTGCAAAAACCGATGCATCTTCCCACTAGTGCAGCGCTACATAGAGTAGGGTACTGTGCACCTGCAACCAGAAGTGCTACTTTCATATAATATGGCATTTGCAAGAATTGAAAACAATCAATCAGAGCCAAGAAAGATTTAAAGACACTTTCGGTTGGAGGCTTAAAGATAATTGATTGTTGAGTCTCATGAGACAAATGGCATTAGGAGCCCCAGGAGGAGCCAGAGGAACGAGGCACAGATTATCTGTCTCATGTACTACTGTCAGGATATAGTGAAAGACTAACAGAAAATATTTTTTATAAAACTTAACTACTTCAGCTTTAAGAAATGTAATCATGTAATCAGGCTCACCCACATATTGTATGTGCCAAATCTGTCCAATATTAGATTAAATTTGTTAAAAAAGTGACAAAAAAAATAAATGGATGGAGTTTCATGTTAAAGTACTTTCATTCCTTAGCAAAACTGCACTAGCTCACTTACAATAAAAGACACCAACTGCACAGTGGAGGATTGTACGATGGAGTATTAGGGCCAGACTAAGAGAAAACTTATTTTGGGGGAGGAAATTACGAGAATAAAGTCGTAACATTACGAGAATAAAGTAGTAACATTACGAGAATAAAGTCATAATTTTATGAGAAAGGGAGGTGAGTAAGGTACTTTAACTTAGAGTCTGATTAATTATTCACTAAAAAGTAATTCAGTGGACCGATTAGCACCACTTAATTAAAAGGTTGCAAGATAAACTCTTAATTCATGAGTTTAAATAACCTTTTTAAGTTGCAAAACATGTTAGGATGAGTTTGGCTGAATTATTAATGTGGAAGAACTGAAACTATTTTAATGTGATAAGTATTTCTGTGAAGAAAACTGAATGTAATTGTTAGTTTTACAGTTATGAGAACTCTTCCCGCTGCGTTAAAGTGAGGAACGTTGATCTTGTGAAGTTTCAGTTTCACAAATAAGGAAATAATTCATGTTTTGGCTCATCAGCATCAAATTATCAGTATCAGGACTATTTCGAAGAAAGAACCACGCACTCGGAACAAATTTCTTCTATTGTACAGTCTCGTATTTTTACGACTTTATTCTCATAATTTCCAAGATTTTAGTACGGCTCCAATACTCCGTAAAGATAAAACTACTGATCCTCTGGGAAATTCCCAAGCCACCTCACAGTATATAGTAATGAGTTCTACATTGACAGCATTATGTGAACTACAATATAACTATTGTGAACGGGCCATTACACATTAGGATTTTGGTATTTAAGTAGATTCTGAAGCTTGTTCTTTTGTACGTTTTACTTCAGTGGACTACACTTACTTTATCTGAAGGATCCGAGTACTTCTGGGGGACTGAAACCACTTCAGGTGTAAACATAAGAAACTCTTGTTGAAGGTTGAATCTGAAGTGTTGAAAACTTTATATTTCTATGAATCATTAAAAACAAACGAGCAGTGACAGTTTGAAGCCATTTATTAGTTCAGATAACGAGTAACAGCATTTCCATGAAGCTCATAATGAAAACAAACATTGAGGTGTCAGAAGCGAACCTGATGAAGCAGGTTAGTGAACTTTAACGTTGGACCACTTCAACCACAAACAGTTACAAACATCCTGTTCTGCATTTACCTCAAGTTCTGGAAGCAAAGAAAAGCTTTAGCTCTCAGCCAGGCGGTTAAAGTGCAAAGCAATATCATTAAAAGTCTGAAAGAAACCTTCAGGAATGTGCAACCTTTATTGAAATAAGAAACAAAAGACAGCGGATCAGAAGGAGCAAACACTGGAGTAAAGGAGGTGGCACTTTAGTTTCCTCCCCTCAGGCGGAGCACCAGGTGGAGGGTGGACTCCTTCTGGATGTTGTAGTCGGAGAGAGTGCGGCCGTCTTCCAGCTGTTTGCCGGCGAAGATCAGCCTCTGCTGGTCCGGGGGGATTCCCTCCTTATCCTGGATCTTAGCTTTGACGTTCTCGATGGTGTCGCTGGGCTCCACCTCCAGGGTGATGGTCTTACCGGTGAGGGTCTTCACAAAGATCTGCATCTTGGCACTGTAGAGAGAGAGAGTGTATTTAATGTTAGAGACCTGAACAGAGTGTCTGCAGTTACACTATGGACCAGACGTAACGTCACAAAAACAAGCCGTAAACACAATAAAGTCTAATTATTAAGAGGTTTATACAATTATCAGGTAATGGAGAAATTATTATTAACTATTCTGATAAATTTGTCAGTAATTTATTTTACATTCTTATACAAAATGTTTGAAATATAAACACAAAAGTGCGTAAACATGTATTTTACTATTAAATATAAAATCCTCACCTCAAAAACAAGCAGTTAGTTGAGTTTTTAATCCAAATAATTTAATATTAATTTGTGAATTTAACTTTTATTCGTGTTTTTGAAACAACTGCGCATGCGCTGTTCCATATTTCCGCCCTGTTTGTTCGTCGGCTAACGAGCTAATGTTGCTAAGGTAACCGGATGTCGCCAGAAATATTCGACGTTTCTCGTTTTTGAGGCGATTATAGTTTTCTTTCAACGGTTCCCCTTCTTTTAAAGGCTTATATCTCTTTCTCTGCCGCGTTAACCGACGGAAATAAAAGATGAACTGTGGTTTTTATTACGTCAGGCCGCGGTTATCAACGTTAGCTGCCACAACAAAAAAAAAGCTGATTCATCCGCTACTAACAGCTGAATTAAAGTCGATTAAACACACAAAACATCAGATAACGACACGTACGTAACACTTGGCTTAAACAGGGTGGATATTGCTTTTAAAATAGTCAAATTACTTACAAACAAATGGTTCCCGCGGGTGTTTGTTCCGGTCACTTCTGAGCGCAGTCAGTTTGTTATGAACAAAGAGCCGCGGAGGGGTATTTATAGGCAACAAGTGAGCGATCCTTCCGCTGTGCCACCCAGTGGAACTATAACCTATGTTTATCTGTTAAAAACCCTGTAAAATGAGTTTGGAGTTAGTTAAACAAACATATTCTGAATGTAAACACAATCAGAGTTTTTATGGGGGAGAGAAGTTGCCTTTTTTTTAGACGTGAAGGTGAAAAATGTCCGTTCACAGCCTGCGCGTATGTATACATGATATTCAGGACAAGAGCAAACCGGAAACGGTCGACAACAACAAATAATATATTTCTAATAAAAATCTTATTTTTCTATTCTTATCATAATAATAATCAATTATTATAATAATATAAATGATTATAATACTTAATAATTATTAGTATTATTATAACAATAATAAATGTGGTTGTTGTTATTGTTGTTATGACTTGCATTTTATTTTGAAAATTCAACACTGTACTGTAAATAAAACAAAATAATACAGCCTTTTTCCAAACACAGAACTTCAAAAAAGACAGAAAAAGGAAAAATAAACAATACAAGCCTGAGAGTGAGTACAAGATAACAATAATAATTATGATAACTTTATTTCTACAGCACTTATCAATGTCACAAAGTGCTTGACAAAATAAATGAGATAAAAACAAACAAACAATAAAGATAAGCTATAGGTAACCGTAACAAACACAGTTAAAATATGAGAATAAACGAAAATAAAACAACCTGGCAACAGCGGCAAGTTTTACAAGTCAGACATCCTGTAAACTTTATCCTTTCGCTTCCACATTCACTCCAGGAGATATGTTTCTGTCCATATGCAACGACTTATGGAGAAAGAGGCTCTCCAGGTGTTCCCGAGAATCATCTTCCTGCCAATTTCTGCCATCTGGGTTCGGTCCTGATGATACTAATTAATTCTACAACATGGTTAAAGCCTCCTGAGGCTCTAAATACGAGGATCGACGGGCTTTATAGTCGGTTACTGCTGCAACTATAACACATAGTTATTGATTAGTCAAGTGTAGTCAGTTTATTTATACAGCTCAAAATCACAAGGGCCTCCGAGGGCTGTACAGTCTGTGCAGCATTCAGTTTAAACCTCTGATTGCTGTAGTTTCTGACTGAGATCACAAATAGAACACTTAGAAAAGACCACCCAGTGCTGTCAGATATATCAATGAGATATTCAGATGAAACCCATCCTCACTGAACACATGAAATACCGTCACTTTGTGTTTTCATCGGTCTGTTTATTTCTCTGCTTCTCCTGAAAACAAATGACCAAGTTAATGTGATTTTTGGAGGTAAGCAGATATTGATTTTGAGCCTTTCCCCGGCAGCACGCCTTCATACTGTTGAACAAGCAGAATCTTCTCACTCATTATTCATCAATTGACAAAATATTTGATACCTTTTCCCAACAGGAAGAAACCTATTGATTTTAGTTACCCTGTGACCTTTAACCCCCTCATCACTATTCCGTCATTAACCAGAAACAACTGTCTGTCTGTAAAACTAATGACTAGCTGGGGACATTATTAGGCTGACTACACTCTTTGTAATTGTCTTTTGATTTCAGATAATCATTAATGCAACATTTCTTGTCTGAAGTGCACATTTTGCCTCCGGTCCGACGTTTCAAAAATGAGCTTCCTGACATTTTAATATTCATCCCTTTGGAAAAAAAATAATGTTTTTTAAATGCCAGCTTCAATTTGAGGCTTTCTGGAGCTACATTTCACACTTTCATTATGAAAATATGATGCAAAAATACACTCACAGAAGTTTTGTTTGACACATTTGCAAACTTGTTGAGTAATTACACCTGGAGGACTTTCAGAGCTTAATATCAGTTATAAAACAGGTTTTTTGAGTTTAGTATCCAGCATATCACAGAGACACTGTTAGCAGTCAGGCTTGTTTTAAAGGTCCAATATGTAACATTCAGGAGGATCTATTGGCAGGAAAGTACAATTATATCATGTATATTTTCATTAGTGTATAATCACCTGAATATAACAATCATTGTGTTTTTGTTACCTCAGAATGAGGGAGTGGGTCCTCTTCTACGGAATCTGCCATGTTGAACCGCCATGTTTCTACAGTGGCCCAGAATAGACAAATCAAACACTGGCTCTATAGACAGGGCCTTTCGCAGCCACCATAGTTTCTCCTATTCGCTTGAAATGGGAGGGAGACACGAGGGAGTTTGTAATCTGCAACTACACCACTAGATGCCACTAAATCCTGCACACTTATATATAATGTAAGGATTTGTTTTCCTGCAGAATTACATATCTTAACCCTTTAATGGGTTTCTTAACCATTTGATAGAGTTTTTCAGGTGGTTTCCGTCTAGAAAGTTACCGGCAGAACTCACTTCATCTTTTTTTTTCAGTTTCGTTTAGGGCTTACTGAACAAAATGATGTTAATGAAATCCCCTAAAAGTCAGATACATTTACTTTTTTAACAAGACTATAAGGGCTATGCTAATAAATAACTAAATAAACTAAATGCTAATGCAAACATGCTAAGGGTTAGATTATGCTTGAACATAACTAGCTCGTAAGACGTTCGTTCTGAATGGCCACACTCGAAGGTTTAGTCAAAAGCTGTCCATCTTAGACAGATGTGATATTGTTTAAATATGGGGATTGTTTCTCAAATGTTTGGCCACATGTGGAGGGAGGGGGTTTCCGAAGGTATTCAGCAAGCAGTGATGACAGAGAACACTGGCAGCTTAACATACTCATAATGAAGCTGCTGATGTTTAGCAGTTTAGCATGCTTATGCCATGTTCACTGTCTTTGTTTTTGCATGTTAACATCGTAACATTAACTAATTAGCAAATTAGGTACACTATTTTGTAAAGTATGAAGTACAACTGAGGCTAACAGGAGTGCCTTTAATTAAGAGGTATTTAGCAATAAGCTAAAGTATTAGACATGCTGTAATTCTGACCTGATGATGTGGCGCTAAATAAAAAGTCAGACGATCACCAACATGCTTACAGTTCATCCTGAAGGGGCATGAATGTATGTACCAAATTTCATAATAATCAATCCAAAATTTGAGCTATTTCAGTCTGGAACAAAGCGGTGAACCAACCAAACTAACAGACTGACTGTTGGTTGACCGAGCTGGATATCGTCATGGAATACATAACAGCACAAAAACAGTTGAGGGCAGTGACCTCTTCCCTCTGACCACTGGGGGAGATACAACTTGTATGCATACAAAATACTTTGTTTTTTGTGTTTGAATACAAGCACTGCTTTGAAGAATACCACAAGAGGAGGATCCATTTCCCCACAGAGCTGTTTTATCACCACACAGATGCTCAGGTCTGATTTAGTACTACATAGATTGCACTGCGTATGTGACTTTCTGATATTTTTGCCATGACCATTAGTAAACCTTTAGCCATGGCTCTAGGGATGCCAGTGGCTCTCGGCCAGAAGCAAAGAAAAGGAAAAAAACAAAACATCCCATTGCTTTTTTCTGGATGGCACTGTTAAAAGGTTAAAACACAAGTGTATGTCAGTGAATGCCACTGCAACTCACTCTCAGTAGAGATGATCAATATTTTTAGTTTACGTTATGGGAATTTTAACGGTGTTTTTTGTAGGCTAGAGAATTAAATTTAGGTTTTTTAAGTCACGATTTGCATCTATAATACTGCTCAAAGTGGAATGCTTTCATACAGTAGACAACCTCAAAATTATATATTACCATTTGGCTGTTGTTTTTGGCCAAGTGTGCATGCGCTTCCAAAACCATCAGCCCCCAGGCCAGGATCCCAGAGGAGATAAGGGATGAAGAATAGATGGCATTCTAAGCTCTCAAGCCTCACGCACATGTTTTTATTTTTACCTCCAGACTTCTTGGGAGCCATCTGTTCAAACATTTAAAGAATACCTTGCTCTCACCAGCCAGAGAGTGAAGCAGCTTGACCAGCAAACATTACGAATGTGCTGTCGAGTAAATGTAGCTCCCAAGATAGAGGGGCAAAGAGATTTGTTTGTGAAGAAACCAGGAAATAAGAGTCAACTGCTACAAGGAAATCTTCTGAGACTGTGGAAGAGCACAGAGCGACAGCGGATGTGTCTGCAAACATGTTTTATGTGTGCATCGGACCAGCTGGATTAACTTTTGGCTGATTGAAGAATTGATCAACTTCCTGCTGCTGTTTTTACTGCACATATTTGTGGGCTGCTCAGGGAACAGCTTGTTCTTGGCATTGTGTCTCAGAACCAGTCAGGACATTCAAACTTTATAGGGAAGATCCAGAAAAGAGACTAGGCTGACCACACTAACTAAGTCTTTCAGTGTATATTCTCCTTATATTCCACTCTGAATTACAGACCCCATAATCACTGTTTAATGCATTTGGTGTAAAGGTAAAGTAGAATAAGAGCTCCAAAGTCAGATTATCTGTGTTATTCAGATATGAGCTGGAAGCTCATTTTCTAAAGAATGTTATCAGGTTTAAACTTCTAGTTTTAAAGACAATTTTTTTTTGCTTTCCAGTCTCTCCGTTCATAATTGGCTTTCTTAAGCAGATGGCAGTTTTTACAAAAAGCTGAATTGTGACACTGAGTGCCTCCCTCAAGACTTCTCCGCCATTTTCTGAGAAAGCCTCTGAATAGATCCCGACAAGCCATTACTGTTCTACACTTTCCCCCTGTTTATTTCTATTTACAGCAGTTAATACAATTATTCCCAGTCGTGACCTATTTAAGCGGTGCATGCTACGAGCCATTAGCATTCAGCGAGTCTACAAAGTTACCACATTGATGGATTTGTGAAAGGAGGTTGTGTTTTTTAGTGCGCGCGTAGGTGGAGGTTCAGAGGCCTCCTGTTTGTCTTCATTTAACTGATTTTCTGTTGCCATAGGAGCAAGCTTCTTTTTTTCTCCCATGAAAGTGCAGCACTTCAGAGCGCACTGTCTGGATTCAGATCTACAAGAAGGTGTCAGGGGAGTTGTCCAGGATTTTACACTTATCACCGCTTCCATTAGATGACTTGCAGCTCACTTTGGAGAAAATGTTTAGTTCAGAATGTCTTTATTATTGCAGAAACCATTCATGAGTACATAGTAATGTGGATTTAGCAGATCTTTAAAAACAGCATATATGTGCTGGAGCATGTACTGTTGGAAGAGAAGATAAATCTTCTGTGAGTATAATAAAGTGCATTGCTTGTCTTTTGTTTTGTCATCCTTGTGCCTTGATTTCTTTTGGAAAAATTTCTAAGATGCCTTTTGTTGCTTAAGATTTATCACTCCACCTGAGGAGAGTTCAAAGACTTCTCAGTAAATCAGCCAGAAAAGATAAAAGTCAGCAGAATATCTTGGATACATGCCATTCACTGCCCTCCGCTGCTTTGGACCTTTCTCTAGCCACAAAGCTAGACAACCAAATGGCTTATCTCATGTACCCCCATCTTCTTATAAGAGGAACTCAAGTACCTCTTCATCAGCACCACCTGTCATCTTCGAAATGTATTAATTTCAGTTGATTTTAAAGTGGATGTTGAGTAATACCACAACAAGTGGATATTGTTACAATCTTTAGTGAATTGTACAGTGTTTTGCTTTGTTTAGTCAAGTTTACATTCTTACTACAACTGTTTGGAGTCACAATAGCTGCATCTGTTTTCATTAATGTATAATCACATGAATATATCAATCGTTGTGTTTTTGTTACCTTAGAATGAGTCGTTTTTATCTACAGACTCCACAGGTAGCCTTCAATGCCATGTTGAACCACCATGTTTCAGACTCCTACACACTATAGTTCAACTCTTTATCCAACACTTTCAGCTAATTATTTCTACCATTTATTTATTACTTTTAGCATGTTTATCCCTTAAAGGTCTAGTGTGTAACATTTAAGAGGATCTACTTGCAGACATGGAATATAGTATGTGTAGGTATGTTTTCATTAGTGTACTATTACCTGAAAATAAGAATTGTTGTGTTTTTGTTGCGAGCTGTTTTTATCTACAGATAATTATTTAAACAGTTTTTACATTAGTTCCCACTTTTGCTAACTATTTGGCCTGTTTATCCATTAATTTTATGTAATTATTTCAGCAGTTTATCTAAGTTAATCATTTAAACCATTTATTAATTACTTTTAGCTAACTATTGAGAGGCCTCTGCTAGCTTGCTAACTAGTTTCCATGCACTCACAGTGGCAGCAAATGGCTTTCAGATGTTACAATTGACTCAGGTTGATGAGCTGTGTACTGGCCAGAAACCTGTTACACAGGCACAACACAAATATGTGGACATAAAATGTATCTGTTGGTCTACTCCACAATCTTTCCACGTATGCCCTGGTAGCTGTAGTACCTCCTGGGGTACAAGTACAAGTACCAATGGCTGGGAATCACTGCTGTAGGTCCCCGAGTTCACCTGTCTGGAGACTGGGGCTCTCTAATATGCTGGTAAAAGGTAAAAGACGGGCAATAAAGATGTCTTATTATGGCATTCCACAGCCCGACAGTAGCTGCTTTTAGTGAGGAGTAGTTTCCTATGCGGTCTTGTCCATGTTCAAACAGATCATTGAAAGAGGAGAAACCACAGAAATGCATGGCCTTCAGTAGCAAACTGACTGAAACCATACACCAGTCTTGCTGGACATTTAAATAAAAGAAAGTCATATAACTTCAAGATTATAATGAAAAGATAATGACTGGATGTTTCTATTAAAGGTCTTGTGTTATGTGATCTATCCCTTTTAACAATGCCAGTGAGTCCTTTTGAAAAAGTGGGTCAATGGAGCTATTTTTAGTAGCCATTGCACACCCCTTTTTACAAACAAGCAAAGGCACAAATTCTGGATGAAGCGTCACCCAGCTATGTTGAACAAACATTCGGGGGAAATGAAGGTGTTTGACTTGCCGGTAAATGGGGTGAACTATTTATCTGGTTTCAAACTTCACCTCTCTGCGGAGATGAGAAGCTGTGTGAGGGCATGAAATGACTGAGCGAGTTGGGGGGGTGGGGGGGCTTTGCCTCCTGGATTGGCTTTGATAAACTAGGGACTTGTAAGATTTGTAGGGCTCTCTGTTCTAAAGTGGGCTTCTGTTTCATCATCTCCAAGTCCCGGTGTCTTGCGTGGCTACCTTGTTGTAATTCCTCCTCATTTTCTGGGTTTCTCTCCCACATTGTCTTTTATTCCCAAAGAAATCGCTTGAAAAGGAAGTGTTTGCTGCCTTCTCCTCTGTTAGAAGTGACACTGTGGGCGATGATGTGATGGAGGCGTACCAGAGACAACATCCTCACATGCACCTTACTGGTTTAATATTCCACAATTGCACACAAAAGTTTGTCAACTAAACAGAGCACAAAGTGGCATATGTTGAGACTAGAATCTGAGCTGCGCAGAAAAAACAATTTCAGCAAGAAATGAAAGGAATAAACAACAAAAATTAGGCCTGTTTCAGGATTATACACTGTTAATGATGGCGGGGAAGCAGTGAATTGCTGCTCGTCTTGCAATCAAGCCCAATAAATCACATGAGGCTGCGCACTGCCCCAACAAACGGGCAAGAGAATGTCAGTGGAGCAGAAGGCGATTTTGCGGCAGAGCAGAAAATGCACTGTATTCCTACAGGCATTGCATGACAAATCTGTGAACTTCTACTAAGTAGAGGTGGAGCATTGTTTGTATGAATTCCTGAATGGCTGTTTCACTTCAGGCGAACTAGAGACAAAGGAAACATAAGCATTGTAAATTATGGCTCATTTTGCCCTTCACTTTGACATCAAATTAAGGTGAAATGTTGCTGATGCTTGACTGACTGTATGTGTTTACGTTTCCCAGATGACTTCACATGCATGCCAGTGACACCTCAACACCAGGGGAAAACATTTACAGCCATTAGTTACCAAAAGCAAAATCACTATTGTTGTAGCACCAGTGGGTTTATGAGCAAAACCTCAACAGTGCAATACCTTCTTCCTTCCAGTCAAAGTGGCAGAGGTCGTATGTTTCCAGGAAACCCTGCTAATATCACTCACCTCAAGTGAAACTCCCATGATGTAATATCCAGTAAACCTCAGAATTTGTGTGTAGAAGTTTCATGTTTCTCTTGTAAAATGAGTAGTGAGAGAAAAATGCTGATGCTTGTTTTGAAGAAATGAAAGTGTAAAAACAAGTTTCCTGTAGAGTTTATTGAGGTTATGTAATATCAAATGAGCCTGGCAGGAAACTGATGAAGCCCAAAATATACTGCCTTGCTCAAAGGCAGCAGTTAAGAATAAATGTGTTACTTGCCACCCTTAATTCATCAGCTACGACTTGGCTTTCATCCTCCTCCTGTTAGTACCACATATCAAAGCAATCATTTTCTGGCTACTTTTCAGTGCCAGTCTCACTCGA